TAAAAAAATTACAACACGGTCGTATTACAATCAAGACGGAATATTTATATATAAATACTTAGAAAAACACCACTGTCACATGACACATTCTCAAACTGCAACACTCAAGTGACAGAAAAAAAACAGTCATCACACGCATGTTAGTAGCTGTTAGAAGAAGACAACACCTAGCACCTTCAACTATACACATCGTACAGCCCCAAAGAACCAACTCGTAAATGTCACGGTATTTGACAGTCTTCGAACTTCTTAATTTCGTTCTCGATTAATTAAGACATTCTTGGCAAGTGCTATCGCTTTCACTCGTGATTTGCCTCCTACTTATTGGTCTCAGTTTTCGAGAACCAACAAAATAGATGTGATGTCCTCAATTATTCCAAGCTGCACAATTCACGGTTCCAGACTGCTTTGAACAGCCAAATGTTATCGCAGTAAACAATTCGGACCACAGCAGGAAACTCAATCTCGAGCATCTGCGAAGCAACGATATGAGGGGGCTAAGACATGCAAGTTTATTCGAGTGTTGACGTTATTTTAGCAATATACTTCAAGACACTCTATATGATAATAATTCGTTGACATGGCCTGTGTCTTGTTCTCCTTAATCAACCAAAATTATACCAAATTACGTCATAAATGAGTGTGAGCTAATTCTTCGGTAGTATTCGCTAAACACCGATGGCACTAACCTACACTAAGTTATGTATAAACAAAGTAAACTTTAGTCGCTCAAATCTCAACTCAGATAGGATCATCTCTATTATTTCCATAGACGTGTGGGGTCCCACGAGAGCAGAGCCGGCGTGCAAACAGCCGGGCGGCAGTTGGAGCAGAAGCAGAAGTCGCTGCTTTGCCATCGAACGGTTTCGTAGCTGCTGTAGTTGCTTCTGTTACTGTTATATAGGCAGCATGTTGGTGTCCCGTGATGGGATAACGCCTTTGATGGAAAACTATGATCCAACAAGTCACCTTCCTTGTCGAGACGCATTCTAAACACAACACTGTACTTAAATATGTTGCTAAAATAACGTCTACACCCGATTCAACATGCAGTTCCACCTCGGCCATGAGCAACCCACAGCACGCGCAGAGGAAGGAGACCACGAGGGAAACGGCCTCAACTTGAAGAGAAAGTTGACAAACTCACGGATGCCATCACCCAGCTGCTGCAACGCCTGTCGGATGAGACGCTGCGTCCCGCGGCACCAACCAGGCGAGTAAAGGAAGAGCAGAGCCCGAATCGGAAGCCGCCACCCGAACATCAGCAGCAGTCGATAGCGTGATTATAATAGGACCACGTTGTTATTATAATAATTTTAATGCGATTCTAAACCGCGCACCTCCCAGGTTGCATTTACGACTCCCGATGTGCATCTACATATAACATACATTCTAGCTCAGTGTAATTCTAATACGACCATAGTGTTATTCTAATAATTTTAATCCGATCCTAATCCCCCAGTTCGCATATCGGACCCCCGGTTCGCATGTCGGACATACATATTACATACGACCATATTATGTACGTATGTAATATGCATACATATGTGCAAGTGTGATTCTATTACGATCACATTGCGATTATAATACTTCTAATGATATTCTAATATTGATTTGAAGCTTTCGTGACTGCAGGAATTAATACTCGTTGGTTCTTTCGGTAAAGTCACGTAGGTAGAAATAAAACAAAGTAAATCACGTTTCGGACGAAACACAAGCGCCCGTCTTCAGGTGAGAATCGCGATATCCGCGATGTCTGCTGCGAGCAGCACGATGTCTGCTGCAGACATCGTTGGGGCGCTTGTGTTGCGTCCGAAACGTCGTTATTTATTTTGTTTTATTTCTACCTACGTGACTTTACCGAAATAACCAAAGAGTATAGATATTATAATACTGTCTCTCCGTTTACGGTCTTATAAATTATATAAAATAAACTAGTTTATATTCGTTTAATGTTTAATGCTCTCTTTAAAGGGTTACAGTTTACATGTTTTAGAGTACAAGTGATCTCCAGTATACTTCGGAATTAGCGAAAGGAACGTTGCTAAACTATTTATAACGGGGACCTCTCCCCTCTAGGAACACATGTTGATGGTGGAGACAGCCAAGACGTTGCCGGTTAAGGTCAGACTTGTGTTTCTGCAGTTGCTGCTGCTGCTGCAGTTGCTGCTGCTGCTGCAGTTGCTGCTGCTGCAGTTGCTGCTGTTGCTGCAGTTGCTGCTGCTGCAGTTGCTGCTGCTGCTGCAGTTTCTGCTGCTGCAGTTGCTGCTGCTTCTGCTGTTGCTGCTGCTGCTGTTGTTGCTGCTGCTGTTGTTGCTGCTTAATATGCTTCAGTTCCAGTGGTGTTCCGTGATGGGATAACAAACTTTGATTAAATACTTTTATCAAACGAGTCATTACAATTGTAACGATTCATTATTTCACGGGCTAATATTGGGTTTGTGCGATTATTTAAAATATTCATATTGAATATTGTTATTTGATTCCATTGAGATGGAACATTCATCCCGCAGTGGACAGCTTGATCCTAATACCACCAAAGTGTTATTCAAGTAATTTTAATCCCATCCTGATCCTGCACCTTCCGTTTCACATATCCCGCCCTTGGTTCGCACGTCCATATTACATACATACATGTTACATACATACATGTTACATGCATGCATGTACCATGTTACATACATACATGTTACATGCATACATGTTACATGCACATATACTTACTACAAACAGATATGTTACATACATACATGTTACATACTTACGACCGTAGTGTGATTCGAAGAGGACCACGGAGTGATTCGAATAATTCGAATGCGATTCGAAAATCACACTTCAAGGTAGGTTGTTGTAATCTATAGCACTAGTTAATAATGTTATTGTATAGCGTTATAATGTATAGCTCATAGGTTATATTGTTAGAGTTCACAAATTTAGAGTTTACTAACAATACTAGTTTACAGTAATTTTTAGATTACTGTATATGTGAATGTTTTAAGTTACCATTGTTGAAGTTCATAATGTTAAAGTTCACAGTGTGATAATTTACAATGTGAGAATTTAAAATGTGAGAGTATATCCAAGACGTCGATCGATGGCGTAGGTCTGGTAGGTTCGATCATAGTTTTTGATCAAAGACGTTATCCCATCACGGGACACCAACATGCTGCCGATATAACAGTAACAGAAGCAACTACAGCAGCTACGAAACCATTCGATGGCAAAGCAGCGACTTCTTCTTCAATCTGAGAGTTTGTGGCCGTGCCCTGTTCTCGTGGGACCCGACACGGATTTGGAAATAATTGCTATGATCATGTCTGAGCTGGGATGAGCGACTAATGTTTACTTTGTTTAATCATAACTGTGTGTAGGTTAGTGTCATCGGTGCTTAGTGAATACTACTCATGAATGAACTCATACTTCTTTCGGATAGAAATTTGATATCGTGTTGGTAGAACAAGTCGCCTGCCTTTTCTAGACGAATTGTTATTTTCAAGTGCGTCCGTAAATATATTGCTAAAATACACAGCATAGGGAAGGCTGCCTTGTTGTGGAGATGTAGTTTGGCTAAGGCGCTGTGGCCGGGTGATGACACGGATTCTGAAACAATGGAGTTAAACACTCGCTGCTTGGCCCCGTCAACAGCAGTGAAGGCTGTCATATACCGCCCCATTTACGAGTTGGATGTATAATGTGTATAGTTAAAGGTGCTAGGTGTTGTTTTCTTCTAACCGCTACTAACGTGCGTGTGTTGTCTGTTTTTAGGATTTGTCTACTGATGTTCTTTTAATTGCGGCGTTTTTATGTTGAGTTCTGTCACTTGAGTGTTGCAATTTGTTTAAGAATACGTCATGTGAGCGTGGTGTTTTGCTTGTTGGAATTTCGCTTTGTTACAATTTGTGATTGTTATAAAATCGTAAAGATTCAGAATCTCATGAGTTAAGAATGGGTTTGTGCGTGATTCTTATACGATCACACTGTGATTCTAATGCTTCTAATGATATTATAATACCTTACCTCCGTTTATATGGTTATAAATTAAAACATTAGTTTATAATCGTTTAATGTTTTCGTTTATAGTATTACAGTTTACATGTTATAGAGTACAGTTTATCCCCGACATACTTCGGGATTAGTGACTGGTAGGTTGATGAACGATTAACTACTGGGACCTTTCCCCTCAAGGAACACGTGTTAATCGGGTAGACAGCCAAGATGCTGCCGGTTAAGGGCACACTTGTGTGACGGAGATCCTCCACCTGAAACTCTCTTAACATGTTTTTGCAGGAACATTATAAAATAAAGAACATTTGTTAAAAATACGTTTTTATTCATCTGCAATCATTTTTACGTGAAAACTCGAAGGGAATATTTATTACATTTCCAGTACAATGCAAACCATTTCCGTTCCAGGAATACCAAAGAGTTAAAGTATCATTCCCCATGATATCCTTATTAGATCACCACATGTTTTCACTGTACGTCTATGTTAAAGTCAAGGCAATATATCCAACGAACGCGTCATCAATGTACATCCTGAAATCGGTTATCTAAAGTCGATTAATACCAATAAAAAAAGCTATATACTTGAAAAAACCCGTTTAAAATGTTGAGTAAAGATGTACCTACAGACGGATTCCAACTTTAGCTCAACAGGGACACCTAACGACTACAATTGAACCCTCTCACAGCCAGTGCTCATCACACCACGTCGGCAAGTAATCCGATAACATTACAAACCACCACTGTGCACGTCATTAAACTCTCACAAAAACTGTAAAACTTAAATTACACACAAAAGTACTCGATACGGATTAAAAGGTATAACCACATGACGTAATATTTTTTCAGTCACCCCGAGCTCTCTGGTTGATCCTCGAGCCACTCCATTACATCCAGCCATCTCTCAGGATCCAATTGCATGGGATCGAAGGTGGAAACTTCTTCAGGACTCATTGCAGCACCTTGAATTTCAGCTTTTGATTTCAGTTTCCTATCATTGTGGACCTTCTGATGCCTGTAAAGAGTTGACGACTGTGAAAATGCCTTCCCACACGCAGGGCACAGGAATGGCTTCTCGCCCGTGTGTGTTCTCTGGTGACTCTGAAGATGTGAAGACTGTGCAAATGTCTTCCCACACAGAGGGCACAGGAATGGCTTCTCGCCCGTGTGTGTTTTCTCATGATCTTGCAGATTTGATGCCTGTGCAAATGTCTTCCCACACACAGGGCACAGGAATGGCTTCTCGCCCGTGTGTGTTCTCTGGTGGTTTTGAAGAGTTGATGAGTGTGCAAATGCCTTCCCACACACAGAGCACGGGAATTGCTTCTCGCCCGTGTGTGTTCTCTGGTGTCTCTGAAGATGTGATGGCCGTGAAAATGCCTTCCCACACACAGAGCAATTGAATGGCTTCTTGTCTCCGTGTGCGTGGGGCTGTGGAGAGCGTATCTGCTCCATGTGAGCGTAGTAACAGTAGCGGTGTTATCGAGGCAAAAGTACGCTATCGTCCGCAAGGATGTTTAGCGTTTTTTGTTAACTGCTAAAACAAGAACGACACTCGCGTCTAACCGAGACGCAAAAAAATGCCGCTTATTTGACGACGATCACGTTTAAGAGTTTGTCCGCAAAAAAAGACACTTACTTGGAGATTCACGGTATATCGATGTCTGGAACCCGTCTGAAGATGTCGCCACGAACTCTCCCGACGCAAAGTCGCCTAACTGTCGACACAGCAATTGTGCTCGCCAGGCTGCGTTGTCTCGCGGTTGAAGGGCGATCAGCAGAGCGACGAGTCGAGCGTCCAACCTCATCAAGTTCCCTCTCGAAATGGCATTGAGCTCTGCTTCTGAGCCGCCTTATAACTCCCCCCCTAGGATCCAATCCTTTGTCTTTCAGGATATTTGCATTCGATTGTTAATTTTGGAAGGCACAATCCGCATGTCTATTAACATACCGAAGGGTAATGTGCCCATTGTGCTTCATGCATGAATATGTAAGTGCATCTCAGTGTGTAATTGTGCGCTTATTTTGAATAAATGGAAAAACTTTGTCCTCGATTTAAAGTGAATGCAGATAAATTAGCATGCAACTTTAGAAAAGGAAGAGAGCGGCCTTCTCGACGAGGGAGTGAAACCCAATAGGTAATCTTCTTCCTAGCGTTGTTCCCGCTGTGGCGCAGGGTCCACTTTTCGGCATTGTCTTCTCCATTTGGCTCTGTCCAGGGCATCTTCAGGGGATGCGTTGACCGTCTTTATGTCTTCCTTTATTCGATCCATCCATCGCTTCTTCGGACGTCCGCGTGGACGGCGGCCCTCTGGCTCAATACGCATGGCAGTCTTGGCCACTGATGACTCTTCACTTCGCATCACATGGCCGTACCACCGAAGCCTTGCCTCAAGCATCTTGTCCGCAATGGGGGCCACACCAAGTCGATTCCGAACGTCTTCGTTCATGACACGATCCCATCGAGTGAGTCCGAGGCTCCATCTGAGCAGCCTCATCTCCATGGTGTGGAGAGCTTGTTCGTGTACAGTTGTGGCTGGCCAGCACTCGGATCCATAGAGTGCCACCGGTCGGACGATGATCTTGTAAATTTTTCCCTTCAGCCTATCCGGCATTTTCCTATCACAGAGGACTCCGGTGACTTGCCTCCACTTCATCCATGCCGCATTGACTCGTGACCTCACATCAGTCGTGATGCTACCATCTGAGCTGATGGTGGAACCCAGGTACTTGAAGTCCGTCACTTTCTTCAGATCTTCTCCGTCAATGCTGATGGTGCCGTCGGTTTGGGGGCCACACTCCATATACTCCGTCTTTTTGATGTTGAACCTCATCCCGTTTTCGTCCAAACGTTCCTTCCACACGCGCGTTTGTCTTTCCACTTCTCCTCTCTCTTCATCTGAGAGGAGGACGTCATCCGCGTAGAGAATTGACCATGGCAGGGGCGTGTGCAGGTCGGCAGTGATCGTGTCCATGCACAGGATAAACAGGAGTTGTGACAGGGCCGATCCTTGGTGCACTCCAACGCTGATGGGAAATGGCGGTGATATGCCCACTGCACACCTGACTGCACTGGTGACGTTCTTGTATAGGAGTTGCACCCAATGCACGTAGGTTTCAGGGACTCCATGGGATCGAAGCGAGTGCCAGATGAGGTCGTGGGGGACCCTGTCAAATGCCTTTTCAAGGTCGAGGAACGACACGTGCACAGCTTTGTTCTTCTCTCTGTGCCTCTCCAGCAGGAGCCTCGCCGCGAATATGGCGTCCGTAGTGCCACATCCTTTGACGAAGCCGCATTGGTTGGGTGATAGGGTGACGATGTTTCTAATCCTCGTGTCCAAAACTCGCTCAAAGATCTTCATCGTATGACACAGGAGCCGGATTGGCCTGTAATTCGAGCATTCTGCCACGGCCCCTTTACCCTTCCAAATTGGATCCGTCGTGCTGGTCGACCAGGCTTCTGGGACCTCACCGGTGCTCGTGATGGTGTTGAAGAGTTGGGTGAGGAAGGCAGCACCCTGCCTGCCAAGGATCTTCCAGGCCTCAGCAGGTATATCGTCCGGGCCAGTCGCTTTCCCATTCTTCATTCTCTTGATACCTTGTTCCACTTAGGTGACGGTGATAGGTGAAACCGGATCGAGGACGTGTTCAGCGCTAATAATAGGTGGGTGGGGAAATTCCTGGTTGCAGATTCCAGAGAAGGAGTCGCTCCAGCGTTGAAGGATGGCGGGCGGGTCTTTGAGAGCGCTGTGATTCTCATCCTTTATGAATTTGACCTGACCAATATCCTGAGTCGAACGATGGCGCGCCTCTGCCAGTCGATAGATCTTATTGGCACCTTCTGGGGTGTCCAGTTCGACATACAGTTGGTCGTATTGAGCTAATTTCACCGCTGCTACTACTCGCTTCGCTGACGATTTGCAGTTTCTGTATTGTTGGTAATCCAGATCTGCGAGCGTTTTGCGCCACTTCTTGAAAGCTAGCTTCTTCTCTTTCACTGCTAGCTGAACTTCTTCGTTCCACCACCATATTTGCTTGTCAATGAAGTGTTTTGCCGGCTTAGTTAGCCCCAGTGCTTCCGTTGCTGCTGTGCACAGTTGGCCGGCGAGATCTTCCCAAATCGCATTCGCTGGTCGGTTGGTGTTCACGTCAATCTGATTGAGGGCGACTCTCAGCTGATCTTTGCATTCCTTCATCCGCCACCACTTAATTCGCTGCTGTTCCGTTGTTGGTGGGCGATGTCGCTGGCCAATGTCCATTTTCATGTCCATGATCAGGATGCGATGTTGTGGGGTGATGTTGTCCGATGGTATTACTTTAGTGTTTGTCACCGTTTTCAGCTTATCCCGCTTGACAAGCCAGAAATCAATTTGAGTTGATCTCCCACCAACAGTGGACAGTGGGATTCTAATACGATACGACTAGTGGGATTCTAATCCTGCATATCCTACCCCGGTTGGCATATTAACTTACCATACGTACAACCACAGTGTGATTCTAATTAGCTCAGTGCGATTATAATGATTAGTATGCGATTATAATCCCATACCTCCAATTATGTGGTTCTGCACTATAACAGTTAATCGTATTTTAAAGCGTAACAATGGCTAGGTTGTAGTTCATAGGTTATACTATTATATTTCACTATGTTAGAGTTTAACATGTGAGAGTATACAATGTCAGAGTTGATCAAGAGCGTCAATCTTGATCGACGCAGAAGCAAATACAGCAGCAGCAGCAACATGACATTTCGAGGGCGACGTAGCTACTTCTGATTCTGCTGCTTCCGCTGCTCAGATATTTGTTGCCAGGCCCTGCTCTCGCGGGACCCCACACGTCTTTGGAAATGATTGAGATGATGATGTCTGAGCTGATAATTAATTTAATAAAGAGTACTTTGTTTGTGTGTAGGTCTGTGTCATCGGGGATCAGCGAATACTGCTTATGAATGAACTCGCACACCTTTATGACCGACATTGTACTAATGTTGGTTGATCGAGACGAACAAGGCACGTGCCATGTCCAGACGAATTGATATTAACAATATTGTCCTTAAATATAATGCTAACACTGGATTAACGTTAACACTGGATTAAACATGTGTAGTAAGTAGCAGAGGAGACGATGTCGAAGTTGAGACACACTGTTTATTAACTCCGGGACAGATACAATAGTTGAAGGGGTATCGGCCCCTTCACCCGTACTATGGGAAACCCACCCTAGTACTAAGCCCTCTGTCCTGTCCCCCAGTCCTCCTCTACTGGGCTACGGGAGGCTGACTGATCTGGCCCTGGCAAGCACAGATCTCGGCACCAGCTAACCAGCCTTGCCCTGACAAGGGCAGCGGTCTGGAAGCTCCTGGGCCGCGCCACTGGCTTACCCGGCTCGGCCCTTATAAGGACGGCGAGACCGGGGAGTCCCAGGGCCTAATCTCCGAGTCTTGGATCTTCACTGGTCAGCTTCGTGTCGAACTCCCCTCGAGCTCTTTGGGTTCCACCTTTTATAGGGATCGCCTCCGAGGGCTGGGGCGTGGGCAATAACTGATGCGGACGTCGGTGTGACCACCCGTGTATGTGAGTGCCGACAGCCCTGTGTTTGTTGTCCGCTGTTCCTCCCGTAATAACCCCTACATCACCCCCCCCTGTACAGCTCGCAGCCGTCCCGGCTGCAACAATCCCTCAACCCCCAAGAATAAAGATTAACACCGTCAATACACGTGTGCCTCGTAACAGTAACAATAACAAGAACAAGCGTAACATCAACCGATGGTTCCCTATATAACAAAAAAAACCCTCACGCAGAACCGCAATACATATACAGAACGGTATACCAGCACATGCAATCAGCATATCGCGATCACACGCGTACATCGAAACACAATAGCAAGCAAATCTGCAGGCGACCAACACACCATCAATCCCGACGCAACTGTGCAACCGCAACACAATTATTCTCTGTCATGCAACGACAGCATCGCACACCGCACCTCGCGGCACAATACAGCCCAAAAAAAAACATTTTTTTTTTCTCTTTTTTTTCCAATTAAGCCCATCGCGCACGGTAACCCACGAGATGGTGCAGTACAGGGTACCCGACGCTCCCACGTTAATAATTAACTATACCATCAAGATGACAACACCACGCAGCAGCGCACACACTCCCTTTGAAACTCAGCAACCACAGCAGACTCTCCGTCCATTCCCAACACACGCACACACTTACATGGACGGCAAGCAACAAGCAGATAGCGTGGTCATCGTTATTTCACACACATACAACCAAAAAAACATATATACAACGAGCGGGTTCCGCAGCAACGGAACACGCGCGGTAAGCTAATCATAACAACCGGCGCGTTTTGGCGCGAGTCCGTGCAGCGGGCCCGTCACAAGGGGCCGGCTTGGTAGAGTCGGTGGCAGGTGTCGCATCAGCAGGTGCCTGGTCGTCCGATTTCCCGGACGTGCCAGCGCCGCCCCCCACGGGGGAGGCTGGCAGCCCAGAGGGCTTCAGTCCTGGGGCTCCTGAAGACGGGACAGTCATTAGTGGATCAGAGGCTGGCATCGATCCCGCCCCCCCGGAGTCAGAGGACTCCCCACATGTTCGGCCACTTTCGTGGGAGGAAGCGTGCGGAGCAAAAAATGGCTTTAACCGTGAAGGGTGTACAAACCACCGACGCTTCCCCCACTTAATTCGCACACATTGAGGCCGCACAACCTGCACAATTTCAACGGGGCCCCTCCATGGTCGCAACAACTTAGCCGAGGTGGCCAATGGCACCTGGGGGCAGTGCAACCATGCTCGGTCGCCCGGGTGCCATTCGTGCGTGTGAGTCCGGCGCGACCGCAACCTCTCGTTTTGTTTTTGGCGGGAGTCAGAGTTTTGCATGGCCGCCTGCCGTGCCTCCGCCAAGCGAAGGATGTTGAATTTAACATGGTCGGCGATTTTCGACTTAGCATGAGGCGCGGCAATCGCCAGCTGAGTCGCGACAGGCGGGTCAACCTCGCGACCATACATCAAAAAAAATGGCGAGAAACCGGTCGCCGCGTGAGGAGCCATCCTGTATGCCGCCAGGACTCCCCCGATCCGTAGATCCCAATCGTTCTGGGACTCAGATACCTGGTGGGATAGCATGGACGTAAGAGTCCTATGCAAGCGTTCCACCATCCCATCCGTCTGTGGGTGGTAAGGCGAGGTACGAACTTTCTTCGTACCCAGAAGGCCACATACCTCGTGTAAGAGGGTACTAGTGAAATTTTTTCCCTGATCGGTCAACAACCGTTCCGGAGCGCCCTTGTCGAGGACGTAGCCCTGAACAAAAGCCTCCGCAACGGCCGCTGCGGACTGGTTGGCGAGGGGCCAAGCCATAGGCCATCGCGTGAAATATTCCACGCCAACCAGCAGGTACTTATTACCCCTCGGCGTGGAAGGAAACGGTCCCAAAAATATCAAGGGCGACCAGCTCGTTAACCCGGGTGACCGAAATGGACTGGAGCGGTGGACTGGCTCCCTTCGCCGGCGGCTTCCGTTGTGCACACTGGGTACAGGACCGCAGCAGATCGTCCACGTCTCTTGCCATGCCCGGCCAAAAGTAATTAAGCTGGAGCGTGGCAAGTGTTTTGAGGGTACCCAGGTGCAGGAGCCGTTCATGAGCAGCCCATACAGCCCTACCCCTCAACGTGGAAGGCACCACCAGCCTGTGACGGCGGATTGTCGCGTCCCAATGCATGAGTACGCCCTGGCACCACCCCCATGAGTCAACGCCCGACTTCCCTGGACCCGATCCTTCCGCGCGACGTCGTAGTGCCAGGAGGGTCGCATCCTCCATTTGGAGGCGGCCCCACTCAGCACTCGACAAGCCAAGTAGGGAATCACTCCCACCCTCCGAAATAGGACCAGCGTCCGAAGGAGAATCAACTGCGGCCGCAAGAACCCGATCCTGACCGTCACTTGCCGATTTGCAACGGCCCGAACCCAAGAAACAAGTGCAATCCGGGGCGATCGGCAGGCGTGATAGGGCATCGGCATTGGTGTGGCGAATCCCCTTCCGGTAAGTTGTTTCAAAATCGAAATCCTGCATGATCTCGAGCCATCGGGACAACTGCCCCGATGGCTGGTTAATTCGTAGGGCATACTGCAATGCCGCATGATCTGTACGGACGGTGAAATGCCGGCCGTACAGATATGGCCGGTACTGTTGGATAAAGAACACGATAGCCAACAGTTCGCGGCGGGTGACGCAGTACCGCTGCTCGGCCGGGGACAGTACTCTACTACCATAAGCCACAACGCGCTCCACGCCACCCACAATTTGTGACAGCACGCCTCCAATCCCGGTATTGCTTGCGTCCGTGTCGAGCACGAACGGCATGGAAAAATCGGGGTAGCTTAACGGCGGGGCCCCCACCAGGGCATCCCGAAGAGAGACAAAAGCGGCGTTCTCCACCGGCCCCCAATGAAATTTGACCCCTTTTGACGTCAAGGCATGTAGTGGCTTAGCGATGGAAGCAAAGTCCGCAACAAACCGACGGTAATATGAAGCAAAGCCGATGAAGCTTCTAACCTCCCCCACCGAGGTTGGGGTAGGCCAGGAGCTGACACAACGCGTTTTGGCGGGATCGGTTGAGATACCTGACCGGCCGACGATGTGACCCAAATATTTAACAGATTCGCGCAGCAAATGGCACTTTTGTGGCTTGAATTTCAAATTCGCAGCGCGCATCTTGAGAAAAACGGCCCGAAGCCTATCAAGGTGTTCCTCGAACGTCTTACTGAATACGATAACGTCATCCAGGTAAATCAAACACACCTCCCATTGCAAGCCAGCGAGGACCAATTCCATCAGGCGCTGGAACGTCGCGGGAGCAGAGTGTAATCCCATGGGTAAGCGATTGAATTGGAAGAGGCCGTGCGGCGTTCGGAAAGCAGTTTTGGGTCTAGATTCGTCGTCCAAGGGAAGTTGCCAAAATCCTGAGAGCAAATCCAAAGTGGAAAAGAATCGCGATCCCGCGAGGGCATCCAGCGATTCGTCCATTCGAGGAAGCGGATAAGCATCGGCCACCGAGATCTTATTTAATCGCCGGAAATCAACGCAGAACCTTAGGGACCCGTCGTGCTTTTTAACCAACACTATGGGTGCACCCCAAGGGCTGGTTGAGGGAGAAATTATGTCCGATTTCAACATGTCATCTACAGCCGATTTGACATGATCCTTTTCGGCGGGACTTAACCGAAAAGGATTCTGGCGGATAGGAGCGTTGTCACCGGTGTCAATATGGTGGCGTAGCAATTTGGTACATCCGATATCGTATTTGTGTTTACTGAAGACGTCGGAAAATTCTCGCAATAAGGCGCGTAATTTAGCACGTTGTGCGTCGGACAGGTCAGGTGACTCAGCACACAACGCATCCAGCCAACCCTCGTCAGCGTCTGAGGCTAATCGCGTATGAGAATCGGTGGCCACCTGGCCAACGATCGGCGTTTCCGCAGGTACCGGAACCGCATGTGCGAACACGGTACCTTGCGAAACCACTGCCGTCCGTGTCCCGACATTGAGGACCGCGATAAACGGGTCCCCATCCCCTTTAACAATAGTCTGGGCCGTTACCAGATCTGGCCCACTCACCCCGGCTCTAGATGGTCCCAAAATAACGCCTCGGTCAGAGACCCCTTTATCGAACGGACGGCGCAAGCGCAGGGGTACCAACATCTGTGCCCCCGGGGGTACACGCACCGTCCGAGCAACAAGTGCCTGTACCGTAGCACAGGCAACACGCACGGGAGGGGTGGCAGGTAGGAACGTCATGCGTCGGCCTGATGGAAGCTCGATGCATTGCTGGTCAATCAGAATTTTGATGGGCAATTTGGCCAAAAAGTCTGTCCCCAACAGGCACGGAATAGCCAGCGAGGAAGAGACGAACACCGGCCCAGATAGTTTAATGTCCCCTATGGAAATTTGCGCTCGAATTTGACCGATAATACCCAACGAGCCCCCATTTGCAGCGTAAAACGGTATATCGACAGGGAGCAACGGGCGACTCTGAACGGGCAGAATATTATAAATCAAATCCGAAATGATAGTTGCCGAAGCTCCCGTATCGACCAATAACCGTACCTCCACCCCGTCAATATGTCCCGCGACAACGGACGACCCCGCCGATGCAGCCACAACTCGGTGAGCCAACTCGGACCATTGGCCCGGTTGGAGCGCCCTCCCCGACATGCCGCGACCCGACGCACCAGCACCCAACCCCCGAGAATTGTGTGCCAGACCATGTGATAGGAAAGTAGGTGTGTGTGCAGGCCGAACATGTGGGGTGCCATGACTTGCCCGAGGATGTTGCGAAGGCTTGTGAAGAGGGCCGTCCGCAGCTCCAGGTCTCGCACCGCGCTGTCGAGGAGCCCGGCATCCGGACGCCACGTGACCCCGGAGGCCACAATTATAGCAGACGACGAGCGTTCCAGAGGACTTGGGCTGGTCTCGGTGGCTTGGGACGTCCCGAGCTGGACGCTCGGCAGATCGCCATCCTGCAGAACGATCCGCAGCGAAGGCTCCCTCCATTTCGGAAGAGGTCGCCGCCACGGTGTGTCGTGCAGCAGCTTTGTTCGCCTTCCTCCGCTGGGAGATGAGATTGGCGTGAATGTGCCTTGCAGCCCGCAGTGATGACATATCCGCATCGTCCTGCGCTAGGATGGTGAAGTCCAGATCGTCAGCCAGCAGCAAAATTTTCTCGGCCACCATCGCATCGATCCCCTCTTCATCCATGCGCGGGAAAGCGTCTTTCGCCAATGACAGCAGGGCCGTGCGATAAGCGAGTGGCGATTCCTTGTCACCCTTCTGCCGCTCATAGAAGAGCTGGCGACAATCAGAAGGCGGCCCATAAACGGTGGCCAGCAGCTGCAGCGCCGACTGAATGGTGGAGCGTGCCGACTTGGGTGCAGCAGTGAGGGTGCCCAGGGCGTCGCCGTCCAATAACGCCGGGAGAGCACACAGCGCCTCGTTGTCCGACCAGCCTGCCATCTCTTGGTGGGCCAAGAACCGGCGCTGGAACCCCCCCCAATCGCCGTCGCTTGCAACAAATACCTGCAGGGCCGGCAGGCGTTGCTGGAATGTCGGCTCCGTCTCCGATCCTCTTGCAGCGTCTCTTGCAGCATCCGTAGCGCGTCCCCGTACTGTATGGTCGGTGCTGGCGTCAGCTGGTGGTGACGTTTCAACCCCTGATAGGCTGCCACCGCGACCCGCCTCCGCCGATGACGTGGCGGCTGCTGGCTGGGCACCGTCTCCCGCGTGACGAGCTGGGACTCCTCCCTCCGCCTCTACTGTCTTCGTGGCGGGATTTTCGAGTCGCCCCGCTGTTGTAAAGGCGGGAGTTTCTGGCGGGCGTTGTCCATCTTCCCGCCGCGTCGCTCCTCCCGGCCCCAGGCGAGTTATTTGTTCCAGCATAGCGGCCGCTGCATACAAGAGCTCCGCCAGCCGCGAGTGAGCCAACGCCAACTCGTCAGTCGACGTCCCGGCCCTCTCCGACGGCCCCGCCGATGCCGGAGCCGGCAGCAGTTGTGCAGGTACGTCGGCGGCGATGTCTTGCACTGCCCCTCCCTCGTCGTCATCCTCTCCTGGGTCTTGGGCACGAGTCTTCCGTCTCGTATCCATGCTTGGACCACTTCTAACACCAGATGTAGTAAGTAGCAGAGGAGACGATGTCGAAGTTGAGACACACTGTTTATTAACTCCGGGACAGATACAATAGTTGAAGGGGTATCGGCCCCTTCACCCGTACTATGGGAAACCCACCCTAGTACTAAGCCCTCTGTCCTGTCCCCCAGTCCTCCTCTACTGGGCTACGGGAGGCTGACTGATCTGGCCCTGGCAAGCACAGATCTCGGCACCAGCTAACCAGCCTTGCCCTGACAAGGGCAGCGGTCTGGAAGCTCCTGGGCCGCGCCACTGGCTTACCCGGCTCGGCCCTTATAAGGACGGCGAGACCGGGGAGTCCCAGGGCCTAATCTCCGAGTCTTGGATCTTCACTGGTCAGCTTCGTGTCGAACTCCCCTCGAGCTCTTTGGGTTCCACCTTTTATAGGGATCGCCTCCGAGGGCTGGGGCGTGGGCAATAACTGATGCGGACGTCGGTGTGACCACCCGTGTATGTGAGTGCCGACAGCCCTGTGTTTGTTGTCCGCTGTTCCTCCCGTAATAACCCCTACACATGCACATTTTAAACCCTGCCTAGCATTTATGACTAACTATTCGCATTTGCACATAACATATATTCAAGCACAGTAAAATGCGCATACGAACATATTGTTACTAGAATAATTTTAATTCGATTCTAACCCTGCAAACCCCCATAGTTCGCATATCCGTCCCCCGATTCGATTGAACGTTTACTTTACAAACATATGAGCGATTAAAATGCTTCTAATGACATTCTCATACCGTAACTCCGTTTATGGTGGAATCTATTATTAAAAAAATAATTAAAGTCGTTGAATGTTTAGTGTGATTGTTCATAGTGTTATCAGTTTACATGTTATAGAGTACAGGTGATCCCCCGTATACTTCGGGTTTCGGGACCAGAACGTTGTGAAACGATTAGCAAGCCGCTAATGAAAAGAACACGGGGCGGCGGGAACACGTGCTTCCATGGGCGGTCGTAGACAGGTTGTGTTGCCCAAAGGTGACACCGGGTACGTCCCCCAAGTTGCTCCGCCCACGGCGGCGACAGGTAGAAGTCATAGAGGTGAAATGGCCGCAGTGTGTACGCATGTAGTTATGTCCGTCCACACCCAGACAGCTCATCCCCATGTCCTGTACAGCCCAAGTCTGGTGTGTCCAACGTGGTGGGGCACTCGGCAACGGAAACCGTACTCCAAACGAAATGTGTTGTGGCGCCCACAGTTTCCGAGCCCCTGAGGCCCGGGGTGCCTCAAGGATCCGCCACGTGCGAGGATCCAGTGCCTGGAGCCTGGTCATATTCTTCAAAAGAAGCCAGGGACCTGCCTAATCCTTCAAGGCTGTGGTGCGAGCCCTTGACGCCCCGAAATGCACAAGAATCTACCATGGGCGCGGGACGGGCGTCGAGAACCAGGTCAAAATGCGCAAGGTTGCGCTTGTAGGCTCCACGCAAAATATCAATGCTGTATATTATTAACTAGCAATAGTACCCGGCGTTGCCCGGCTGAAAAATATATTTCTTAATAACCTTACATATATACACACCCTCACCACTCAGCACTCACCCTCACCATTCACCCTCACCACTCTCCCTCACCACTCATCCTCACCAATAACACCCTCACCACTCTCCCTCACCACTCATCCTCAGCAATCACACCCTCACGAATCACCACTCACCCTCAACACTCACCCTCACCACTCACCACTCACCCTCACCATTCACCCTCACCTCTCTCCCTCACCACTCATCCTCACCAATCACACCCTCACCAATCACCACTCACCCTCAACACTCACCACTCACCCTCACCATTCACCCTCACCACTCTCCCTCACCACTCTTCCTCACCACTCTCCCTCACCACTCATCCTCACCAATAACACCCTCACCACTCTCCCTCACCACTCATCCTCAGCAATCACACCCTCACCAATCACAATTCACCCTCAACACTCACCACTTACCCTCACCATTCACCAGACAGATTTGCGATTTTATATATATAGATTCTGACCTTACTCCCTCCCTTTGATGCTGCTAATCCTGCATAATGCATGGGCATAATGACTTTAAACCCCTCGCCAAACCTCCTACGCATTTCACAAGTAGGGCTAATAGCATATCTGCATTTCCCATAAATATGCTAAAATCATCTTGATATGCAAATTGTTTTGTCAAGACGCTCTTCGCTCCTCCATCGCAGCATAAATAGTCGCTCCAAGCCTGGAGCGTGACATACAGACTCTGTCTACTTGACGGACCTGTTCTCCACCTGAGGACGGCTGCTTGCGTTGTGGCCGAAACGTCGTGAGAATTATTTTATTATGTTTTATTTTTATTATTTTATTACTTCCCTTCTACGTGACTTTACCGAAAGAACCAAGAAGATGCATATTGCTATTCGGTGCCATTGCGATGTAACATTCTACCAGCAGTGGGCAGCTTGATTCTAATACGAGTGTAATAAAAGGACTCAGACACTTCTTGCTGACTCCGTGTCCTTTATTTGGGGTTCGCGTTCTCCTTCCCACACGGCACTCCTCCTGAGACTCTCTCCCTGGCAGCCCCACATCTGCCTTCACTCCCGTAGCCTTCCACGCTCCTGCAGCTCCGCTGCAGGCTCTTGGTACAGCCCTCTGGCTGCTCCCCCAGCAGCTCCATCGCTGCTCCCTGTTCCTCCGTGCGTGGCGATCTCGCCACCTCCCAATGTCAGCCCTTCGTGGCCTCTATGGCTATCTCGCCATTTCCTACCTCAGCCCTTCGTGGCCTCTGTGGCTATCTCGCCATCTCCAACCTCAATCCTCCACTCTCTCTTCCACCCCGCTGGCTGGCGCCGTCATGAGCCCCTCAGCCACCAGGCTGAGGCACGGCGACCACCCAACGTGTTCACCACCCTTCACTCCCCCGACTGACCCAGATAGCTTCCTGTCTCCCCGCTATAACTTCTCCCCCACGTCACCCTGACTCCTCCCTCTCGGATCGTCATATCCGCCCCGCCCATTTACGCCCGCATTACACGAGCATGGTGCGATTTTAATAATTTTGATGCGATTCTAAATCTGGCACCACCCAGGCCGCATTTACGACTCCCGATGTGCATCTACATTTAACATACATTCTAGCTCAGTGTAATTCTAATACTACCATAGTGATATTCTAATCGTTTTAATCCGATCATAATCCTGCAACCCCCGTTCGCATATCCGACCACCGGTTCGCATGTCCAAAGGCCATAGATGCATATTACATACGTACATACGAGCACAGTTCGCTTGCACGTACACTATTATACACGAAATTCTCAGTTTTTTTTTAAATGAACGTATGTTTTTCAAATCATATGAAATGCAATTATGTTATAATATGTGATTGTTATACACTTTATCTGTTTACATAGCGTATATTGCTATTCGATTAAATTAACATGACATTCATCCAACAGTGGACAGTTTAATTCGAATACGACTACAGTGGGATTTTAATAATTGTAATGAGATTCGCATTCACTTAACATGCATATGGCCACAGTGTGATTCTAACATTATCACAGTGCTATTATAATTATTATAATCACGAACCTCCATTTATTTTGTTCAAAACTAATAATACCGTGCCTCTGTTTTGGTGTTATAAATGATGAAACTAGTTAATAGATTATTGTATTTTAATTATTTGTGATATCGTTGATAGTGTTACAGTTCAAATGTCATACTTGATGATTAGGGACCGTAACGTTGCGAATAGATTTGTAATGGGGACCTTTCCCCTCCAGGGACACATGTTAGTGGGGAGACAGCCAAGATGCTGCCGGTTAAGGGCAGATTTGTGTGACGAAGATCCTCCACCTGAAACTCGCTTAAAATACGTTTTTATTAATCTGCAATCATTTTTACGTTAAAACTCCAACCGAATATGTATTATGTCCTATGTTCAAACAGTTACAGAACAATGCAAACCATATCCGTTATCATTCCCCATGATTTCCTTATTAGTTCACAACGTTTGTTCACTGTTCGTCTATGTTGAAGTCAAGGACATATATCCAACGAACGCGTCATCAATGTACATCCTAAAGTCAATTATTACCAACCAAAAAAAGCTTTATACTTGAAAAAAAACACTACAATATTGTCCGGAATTGAACAATCTCACAACCACTGCTCATCACACCACTTCACCAAGTAATCCGACAACATCAAAACTCACCACCTCCACGTCAAGAAACTCTCAAACAAACTGTAAAACTAAAGGGTCAGAATTTCCCACAAAAGTACTCAAGACAACTTAATAGGTATAACCGCATGCAACATTATATTTAAGTCACCGCGAGCTCTAGGGTTGATCCTCGAGCCACTCCATTACATCCAGCCATCTCTCGGGATCCAACTGCATGGGATCGAAGGTGGAATTATCTTCAGGATTCATTGCAGTACCTTGAATTTCACCTTTTGATTTCAACTTCCTATCATCGTGGACCTTCTGATGCCTCTTCCGTTTTGATGACTGTGAAAATGACTTCCCACACACAGAGCACAGGAATGGCTTCTCGCCCGTGTGTGTTTTCTGATGACTCTGAAGATGTGATGACCGTGCAAATGTCTTCCCGCACACAGAGCACAGGAACGGCTTCTCGCCCGTGTGTGTTCTCTGGTGTCTCTTAAGATGTGATAACCATGAAAAAGACTTCCCACACACAGAGCAATTGCATGGCTTCTTGCCTCCGTGTGCGTGGGGCTGTGGAGAGCGTCTCTGCTCCATGTGAGCGTAGTAACTGCAGCGGTGTTATCGAGTCAAAAGTACGCTATCGGCCGCAAGGATGTTTAGCGTTGAGTTTTGGATTTTGTTAACTACTAAAACAAGAACGACACTCGCGTCTAACCGAGACGCCAAAAAATCCCGCTAATTTGACGACGAACACGTTTAAGAGTTTATCCGCGAAAACAGACACTTACTTGAAGATTCACGGTAGATCGATGTCTGGAACCCGTCTGAAGATGTCGCCACGAACTCTCCCGACGCAAAGTCGCCTAACTGTCGACACAGCAATTGTGCTCGCCAGGCTGCGTTGTCTCGCGGTAGAAGGTCGATCAGCAGAGCGACGAGTCGAGCGTCCAACCTCATCAAGTTCCCTCTCGAAATGGCATTGAGCTCTGCTTCTGAGCCGCCTTATAACTCCCCCCCTAGATTCCAATCCTTTGTCTTTCAGGATATTTGCATTCGATTGTTAATGTTGGAAGGTACAATCCGCATGTCTATTAACATACCGAAGGGTAATGTGCCCATTGTACTTCATGCATGAATATGTAAGTGCGTCTCAGTGTGTAATTGTGTGCTTATTTTGAATAAATGGAAAAACTTTGTCCTCGATTTAAAGTGAATGCAGAGAAATTAGCATGTAACTTTAGAAAAGGAAGAGAGCGGCCTTCTCGACGAGGGAGTGAAACCCAATAGGTAATATTCTTTTACAGCGTTACAATGGATAGGTTGTAGTTCATAGGTTATAATATTATGTTTCACTATGATAGAGCTTAACATGTGAGATTCTACAATATCAGAGTTGATCAAATGCGACGATCAAGTCGTCAATCGGGTGAGTTTGAACAGAGGCTTTAATCAAAGGCGTCATCCCATCACGGAGCACCACCTCCCTGCGTTTATTACAGCAACAGAAGCAACTACAGCAGCAACAACAGCAGCAACATCACATTTCGAGGGCAACGCAGCTACTTCCGATTCTGCTGCCCAGCTGTTTGTTGTCGGGACCTGCTCTCGCAGGACCCCACACGTCTTTGGAAATGATTGCGATGATCATGTCTGAGCTGAGAATTAAGTCACTCAAGATTACTTTTTTAACCATAACATTAGGTAGGTTAGTGTCATCGGGGCTCTGTGAATACTACTCATGAATGAAATCACACTCCTGTATGACCGACATTGTACTAATTTTGGTTGATCGAGTAGAACAAGGCACATAACATGTCCAGACAAATTCTTGTCAACAACAGTGTCCTTAAATATGATGCTAAAATAAATGTTAACACTGGATTAAACGTGCACCTCTTAACCCCTCCCTCGCATTTACGACTAACAATTTGCATTTGCACATAACATACATTCAAGTACAGTAATTTGCTAAAACGACCAAATTGTCATTCTAAAATTTGAATGCCATTCTTACCCTCGACCCCCACAGTTCACATATCCGACCGTCGGTTCGATTGAACGGACAATTAACAAACATGTGTAGAGTTCCATTATAATACTTCTAATGAAATTAAAATACCGTACCTCCGTTTATGGTGGTATAAATTATAAAACCAGTTGGTAGCTTTTTTTGTCGTTTAATGTTTAGTGTTATTGTTTATAGTGTTATCAATTTACGTGTTTTTAAGTACAGGTGATTCCCGGTATACTTCGGTATTCTGGACCTGAACGTTGCACCGTCTCTCTGGGGAACCGTGTGGTGTGTGTAGCGAGTATCACGGGGTGGGCGGGTAGTGCGGTGATAGCGGTCACGTTTGGCACCGATGCACGACCACCGCCACCACCCCTACTGGGCGGTGGACCTGCCACCACAAAGCAGCACGCGGCGGAGGAGTGAGGCGATCGCTCTCGCCACGCGAGCGAGGCCCCCTCGCTTCCTCTTCTTTTCGTGCATCTCCACCTGCACCTCTTCCGTTTTCTCCTCCGTCTCATCCTCCTCCATCCCCTCTTCTTCATCCTCCACCACCATCTTCTCCTCTACCTCCTCCTCCTCTTCCTGCACCACCTCCATCTTCTCCATCTTCTTCTCCTCCGCTAGCACCATCTCTTCCTCCTTCATCTCCTCCTCACCTTCCGGCACCACCATCTCCACCACCGTCTTCTCTTCCTCCTCCACCACCATTGTTTCCCCTTTGTCCGTCGTCTCCATGTCCTCCACCACGACCATCTGTTCATCCTTTGTTGTCTCCTTGTCCTCCATCTCCGTATTGTCTTTCTCCTCTCCCTCCGTGTTCTCCTCCATTGTCACCATCACAATCTCGTCCTCCTTTGCCTTCTCTTCCTCCGATTTCTCCTCCTCCTCTGTCTCTACCTCATCCTCCATCATCTCCTCCTTCACCTCTTGCTTCGTCTCCTTCTCCACAACCTCTGTCTTCACTTCAAAGGCCTGGACGAGTGAGGAGGAGGGCTGAGCTGGCACAGATCTGTGAAGAGACAACACGACACCGTTCTAGATTTGAAGCTTTCGTGACTGCAATGATTCATATTCTTCGGTTTTTTCGGTGAAGTCACGTAGGTAAAAAACATTAAAAAGTAAAATAAAATAAAAAATAAAAATCACGACGTTTCGGAGGCAACACAAGCTTCCGTCTTCAGGTGGTACCGTCACAGCCACGACAGCTGTATCAAGTAAATGAGAGATTGCAGGAGCTACCACTCCGTTTATATAATGGTTGGAGAAGGTGGTGGGGCAAGGGCCGCATACTTTTATTAATATGGTAAGGTGAGGCTTAAGACTAAGAATAGACTGCATATTCTTAGTCTTGACTCAACCTGTAACTGGGAGACCACCACTAGATATGGTAAAACTGTGATGGTTGTCTGTCAAACACGACACCGTTCCACCTTGCTGCTACGGCAGACATCGCCATCTTCCCATCGTCCGTGGGTGGAATGTGTGGCGGATTAATTCGAGCTGAATAGAAACAGCAATAACGACATGGCCAGTGAGTGTGCTTAGTATTGGTGCTGTCATTCTCATGGCGCCAGGCTATCCTTGAGATAGGTGCAGCTGTGTCTCACACAGACTGCTGTAGCTTCACAGTAGTGGGTGGCGTTGCTGTGCAAATTTAGCTGAATAATTTGAAGTGACATTTTTTTGGTTCTTTCGGTAAAGTCATGTAGGTATGAAATAAAATAAATTAAATCACAACGTTCCGATTGCAACACAAGCAATCATCATCAGGTGGGAAAACCACAGCAAGAAACATTCTTGCAATGACGACATGGCCATCGAAACGTCGTGATTAAATTTATTTTATTTCATACCTACGTGAATTTACCGATATAACCAAAGAGTATGGATCCCTGTAGTCACGAAAACTTCAAATCTAGATTGACATGTTTCTATATGTATATTCTAATTGACCCCTTGCACATAATGTCCTAAGCATTTCAAATGGCATCCGTAGAGATCCTGAACGTCCACTGTGACGGAATGGGTGTGGATCTGTGTGGTCAATGCAGCAGCAATAATAGCAAAGGCGGGAAGCAAGATCTGAACTGTAATGGTGAAGAATGAGTGCACGACCATTTGGCCGCTTCAACACATCCACGATTTCGAAAAAGTGTCCGTGAGTGATTCGTGGTCGAGAGAGCCACCTCCCTTGACGTCGAAGGCATTTCAAAGTGCATTGCATGCGATTAGCCTCTCGCATCTCTCATCTCATCGCGTTTTAAATTGGACACCCCTCTCAGTGGTAGCTGTCGCTGTGCATTACAAGGCGACTTGGCAGCTGGCCTGGAAACAGGCGATAGACAGCGAAAATCTCACGGTGGATGGAGGGTTACATGGTGAAGATATGCCCACTTCGTTATGTGGTCTAACCCAGAATTCAGTTATGAAAAATAAATCTGTCCACAGTATAGCGGAATGTACACGTGGGGTTTGCAGTGTCTGTGAATTTTGAGAGCGCGACAGGGCTTGAGCACCTGTGCATCACAGCAACATTGACCTGGGTTTGATTTCCACGTTTGGCCACATTCTCCATGTGGATTATGCAGCCAGCTGTTCTGGGAAGGTTCTGCAGCTTTCTCCCTGTTACTGAACCCACACAAGCAATGCAAATTGTTCAATTTGGATCGCAAACAGTAGCAACTTTCTTGAAAAATGCGAGCAAACTTGGCAGGATCCTCCTGAAAAAAAGTCTTGAGACCGAGTAAGGCTGATGCTGCGTGAGAAGCATGGCAATAAATAACAAAAATAAGTATAACCCGTAAAAACAAAGTTTTTCACTATAAATCCTTTATATGCGTGGCGGCTAGAGTCCTCTCGTCCTCTGGCTTGAGATGGCTGCCACCTATGGGTCAGATGATTGTCTGCCAGTATTAACCAATTGGTAATTATATATTTAATTTGTTTTCCCTAAACAATCTAAAATTTTGGAAAAAAATTTTCACGAACATTAATTGTCTCGCACAACGAGTCTGTGTGCAAAATGTCAGCTCGATTGGATCACGGGAAGTGGGTTAAAAAACGACCGAAATATTTGCACGGTCGTAAGCAAGCAAGCACGCAAGCAAGCGAACTTAATATAAAGGATTAAATAAACACACAGGGCGCACACGCAGAGTGCTTTACCGTGGCTCAGCGACTCCGGAGTTTGCTTTATCTTCTTGGAAGCCCTCTTCTCCAAAGCTCGGAGCTATTGGGCCCCACACAGGATTGGAGGACGTGGTAGTGGTGGCGGCGGTAGTGGTGTCAGTGGTAGTGGTGCTGCTGCTGGTGGTAGCGGTCTGGAGCCATTGTCGCTCGATCTTGGCGAGGCGCTGCTCTTCCTCGAGGCGCTTTTGCTCCACAAGACGCTGCTCCTCCATCAAGTGCTCCTCCTCCTCTTGACGCTTCACCTCAACGAGGCGCTTCTCCTGAATGAGACGTTTCTCCTCGAGGAGCTTCACCTTGCGAAAGCGCCTCTCCTCAAGTCGCTTATTTTTTT